TCAAGGTTTCTTGGGTTGCAAATGAGACAGATTCATGCGCAAATTACAAGTCCAGGTACCTGTTCACATAGCAACCTTTTATCATGCTTCTTTCCAGTGATTATGATGATTGCCTACAATTTTGTTTTCATCTAATTCAAACTTGCTAGAGTGATCCTGGACTAGCTGCTTTGCCGGGGCGCCCACTGAGGCCCCTGAGCGAGCCGGCACACGGCGCCGTGCCAGGTCCCACGCTGCGCTGCTTTGGGCAGAGCGTGACGTGGGACACCCGCCGTGGGGCCGGAGCTTGGGGCATAAGGAGCATCAAAATCATGGAGGCTAGCTGGGCTGCATGGCACAACGACTTTTCTCCCCTGGGGCCAGACCAGGCTGCCGTGGGTGGTGGGAGGTGCTGCGGGTCTCACGTCCCGCCGCGGCCCGTCCCAACACCTACCTCAGCATTTTGTTCACTTTCCTAGACATGAGCTGCAGAGCATGAGCCGCGCAGTCCATGCCTCACCTAGCACGTCTAGGAAATCCTCTTAGTTTGTCTCTCCCTTTTTTTATTGAACTCTGAGATCACAGGAGACTGGTGTCAGCTGGTGTGGCAGTGCCACGCAAGGAGCAGACACAGCCCTGCGGGTCTGAAGTGACAGGACCCAGCACAGGGAGCCTAAAACACTTGCAAGTTATTTGTTATTCAAGTTTTCTCAGCTCTAATGTGTTGCTAGTTTTCTTGAAATTATGGATAATAAATCACGTTCTCCTTCAGAACCTAGTTTTGTTCAATTTTAATGTATGGCACAAAACTCCTGTTTTCTTTCCAGGTGTTGGAAAATTGGAAGGTTGAGAAATAAAGTGTGGTTAAAGGCTGCTTTATTGTTGGCTGTTGTGGTTGTTCAGATTATTTTCTTAAAGTGTTACTTTAGCAGGAATAGAGCACTGGTACACTTGTGAAGTCAATAAATGTATTTATGAACACATTACATACATAAATTCATATTTAACACTATATATATACGTCTTGTTCAATATTGCATAGATGATATGTATGTGTGTGTGTCCATGCAACACAGATTTCATACATATACATATATGCATAAAATTTGTATTGCATGGATGTTTAAATTTGAACACAACTTTTCTTCTCATGTGCAAAAAAACCACAAACAAGAATTTAGAAGAGAAAAACACCGTTTTTTGTGGTGGAGGGAAGCTTGTTCATCATCTGTTTATGATATAATTGAAAAAGCCTATTACAAAAGGATTTTTGTCACTTTTTTATTCTCAGAAGTGAAGCATTCGCAATACTATCTTACTGAACATCAATTCTTAAGCTTTTCTTTAAAGGTCTGAAGGGCTGAGAGGAGAGAAGCCCAGGTGTCTTCCAAGCCTTCTTTAGCAAAGACGGATGTTACGCTGAAACACTTCATTTCCAGACTTAAAAATACTACCACATCTAGACACAGGCAAATCTAACTCCGTATTTCTTTTTCTCTGGGTTAGAGATGTTACAGTAGAATTTAAACTAAGGAAATTAATTCTGCATGATCCTTTGCACTGTTCAGAAGGCTCCCTGACCTTGTAAACTTAGTGTTTTAAGAAAATCCCTTGAAGTTTAATTTTTTCTGCGTAGCTGAGCTCTGAATGGACCTGGGTAGTAACACTATCCCGGCTTTTGTTTGATTTTTTACCTTCTTGCTTTTATTTTAAAATCACTTTGGAAAGAAACTTGAAATGCTTCACCCCCAGACAAGTTGAAACAGCATTTTTCGAACTGTGAAATGAATATGTCATCGATTGGTACCACGAAAACAAAGGATTAGACAAAACCTCGCCCACTTGTGTATTTTTATGGAAATCACCCTTCTTTTTGAGACAGATGTGATTTCTTGTATAAATAAGGGCAGCATACAGCAGAAAGTCAAAGACAGTATCTAATTTTCTCTGAAAGATCACCGTTCACTGAAAACTTGCCAGTTAAAACACCAGACAAATGTAATTCTGGCTTTCATCCCCACCTTGAGTTTCCTTCACCAGCTGTTTGGTGTGGCCAATATATATATATTTTTTTGCCTCTTCTGGAAACAAGAGCCAGAGGAACAGCAGCAAAAACTGATCATCCCAGACCCTATTTCCGACCAAGCGGGGACCTCAGTTTCTACAGAGAGACGCGTTTAACAGGAGCGATACTGAAAGAGGTGCAAGACATCACAGAGGTGCTGTGTCTGAAAACGGACTCGAGCAGCCAATGCGTTTTCTAAATAACCTACTCTTTTCACTCGGGCAGCGAGTCATCCCTGTATTTGAATACAAGCAAAATATTTACATTTTTAGGGTAAAATAATACGGCAGGTGGTGTAACACGTGAAAGGACTTGGGAACAACAGGGACGGTGTAGTTAATGAGAATACAGTAAAACTCATCAGACAAACAAGACAAAACGAACGGCTCAGCAAGCGGCTCCGAGAAAACGGCAGACGAGTCATACAAACAGGAGCGCGACGGAGGATTCGGCGTAACTACGCACATAACCGGTTTCATACAAACGCTTTTACAAGCTCTTCCCCCTCCTCTTCACGCAATAAAATGGAGAGGAAAAAAAAGCATTGTAATTGGCAAAACGTAGAGATAAGTGAGAAAAACAGGGACTGAAACTAGGAGCTTTTGTGCAGACCCCATGTTAATATTGTCATGATTTGCAACAACCACAATGAGGGTAAGTTGCCTGATTTTTGTGAGTATAAAACAGACCACCACATTCACTCAAACTCAGTAATGGGGAGGTTATATTTAATTTTTTTTAAATCTATTTCCTTCCTCTTCCCTTTGATGAACTATTTAATTTCATCAGAGCATCTGAAAATGTAACTGAACTTCCATATTCCATAAAAAAGCAATCTAGCAGGGTAAGGCTGGATCAGCTAAACAGCTTCTAAAACTTCCGTTCAAAAAACTTCCCTCCCCCTTGTTCAGACATATTGGCAATAACCTTTTTTCCCCCCCCTTGAAACAATGCCGCTCCAGGGACGAGAGCAGTTTTAAGAACGTGCTTTTTCATAGTCTTCGTGCAGATGCTGAAGAGACTATCCTGACAGTAACAGCTTTCCCTAAACGCTGCCTTCCAGCTTATACAAGGCACGGCATGTTACAAAATCCTGGAATGGAACATTTTGTGGCTTATTGCTCATGACCTGCTGGTCTTCTTAATATGTGTAGAAAGCATCGTTACAGACTAGCAGTCATGCTTTGCGACTAATGGTGTGATGCCCACCGAGGGCAGGCAATCCCTGCCTTTCTCATTTTGCAAGCGCAGTCGGTTCGCTGCGCGCGCCGCAGGCCGCGCGGCTCCCAGCGCGGTGTCCCCACTTCTCGCCTCACCCACAAGAGGACACTGCAGCTGCAGGGATGAACACCAGTGCAGCGCAGAAATAAAAAAAGGCTCAAAATGATATAAAGCATTTATCATCACCTCCCGGAATAGACATCATAATCACCAGTGAGATAGTTAAAGGAGGGGTTTGGCTTTGCTTCGCCCCACAAAACTACCCAAGTTTGCATTTTGTATACAATTGTTTGCTGGTGCCCCAAAGAAATCTTTAATTCAAGGCTCCGGACTTTACCTGATATTGTGCATAGCGCAGAGCAAAGCGTGAGCATGTCAGCAAAGAGTAGACGCTGGGACACGCTGCACTGTTAAAGTAAGGCAGAAAACTTTCACAGCCTAACTTGGATCGGTGGGGGAAACCCAGATCTGGGGGGAAAACTGTGACTACAGTTTTCTGAAAAGGAATCTTACTTTTTTTTTTCTCGCAGGAAATAATAAAAAAAGAAGTATTTTAAATTCACTTTAGTTTTGTTTTGGACGGCAAAACCCGAGAAGGCAGCTAAAATCAGGTGCCCGCTGCTTGCGAAAGCGGATGAAAGCTACCGGAGGGCCCCGGGCGCCTTCTGGCCGCGCTGCCGCTGCGGA